GTGGGATGAACATGCAGGGGAACCGCTGTGGGGCAGTACAGACACTGATAACCGTGGAGGCTTGACTTATAACTCAAAAGGCAGGGTTAGGACAACCGTGTGAATTATCCATCACCAGCTAATATTGCTGCATTGAAATGTCAAAGCAGTGGTCAATCTACCTACAGAAATCTTTAAAGCTTAAAGCAATGCTATTTCATAAACGCCAACACATTTGAGGACCAGGAACATGTAATTTTGGTTATAAGAATCTAGAGTTCTTTGAGACATCTTCCCGACATGAAAGGCGCCATATAAATGCGAATTGCATTGCAATCATATATGGCCCAGCGTTGACCAGAGATAGAAGATATAAAAGACATTTAAAACCAACTTGGGAAGTTAAAGTGGATCTGTGGAGAGTGAAGTAAAAGAGAGAGGCTGAAGATTGAAGTGTACAGAGTTAGCAGGCTGTCCTTTCAATTCTATAACGACAACTTGCATTTATATAGCGCCCCTCATCAGGGCAGTGTCCCAGAGCATCTGACAGTGGCAGAGTACGACACAGAGCTAGGGGGAGGGAGAGGTGACCATCGGCACAGTCGAATAGGAAGGTCTTCAGGGCGCGACATGAAGATGGAGAAGGAAGGGGCAAGATGGAGGGATAGAGGAAGAATATTCTAGAGTTTTGGGGCATAGTGGCTGAAAGCGAGGCCGCCAATGGTGGAATGGAGGGCACAAGGACATGCATTTCATTCTACCATCTGGGCTCCAGAAGATGAAGGGCTCCTCTCTCTGAATAAAATGTGACATTAAGAAAGAATAAGAGAGATGGATCTCAGCGGTGCTAGAAGGATCACTTATTCTATGAGCTATTTCCTGTATCAAGAGAGATGCTATAATAGCACTGGTAAATGTGGCTGCAGTATAGAAGTTTTGAATGAACTTGATCTATTAAGAGCAACCTCAATGGCATTTGACTCTTGTAATAAATCATAATAATCCTTGCATTTGATATAGCGCCTTATATTTAGACATTAAGACAGCAATAACAACAAATTACATTTATACAGCTCCTTTCACATCGGGAGGACATCCCAAGGAGCTAAACAGTCAGGGATCTGGACCCAAGCATGGCTTTGGAATTGGTGGGGGGGGGGGGGAGGGTGTGGAGGGCAGGGAGGGTATGGATAGGAGAGTGGCCGAATGCGCAGTTGAAGAAGAGAATCTTGAGATGGGTCTTGAAGGAGGCAAGGGAGGAGCGAGGCAAAAGGATTGTGGGATGGAGTTTCAAAGGGTGGGGGCAGAGAAGCTGAATGCCCGACGGCCGATGGTCGGGCGGGGGACGTGTAGCAGAGGGGAGCCCACTGAGTTGAGGGAGGGGACAGGTTGATTTGGGGTTAGCAGGTCACAGAGGTAGAAAGGAGCAAAGCCTTGAAGGTGAGGACAAGGATTTCGAACTCTATCCTCTGGGGGATGGGGAGCCAGTGAAGCCTGGCGAGGGTGGGTGTAATAGGGTCACGGAGCCTGGTGTGGAAGAGGATATAAGCTGCAGAGTTCTGGATGATCTGCAGTTTGTGGATTGAAGTGTTGGGTAGGCCGACAAGCAGAGTGGCAATAGTCGAGCCTAGGTGTAATAAATGATGAGAGTTTCAGTGGCCTGAGGGGAGAGGCAGTGATGGAGCCTGGCGAAGTCGTGGAGGTGGGGGAAGGCAGAGTGGGTCATGGCACAGATATGGCAAGACAAGGCAAGGCATCTCAAAGCGCTTCACAGGTTACACTGTAAAGTGGATTAACTGAAATTTGTGGTAGAATTTAGTCAACAATTAGTTAACACATTTAATAGGCTGAATGAGTTGTTCAGTGATGGTACAGTGTATTATTCTGTAAACGTTGCTGTGGAAAAGGAATAGATTGTATGACATTCAGCAAAGCCGCATTGGGGGGTTTTACACCAACATGGAAATGTGTCCTATAGCGATTGTGGCAATCAACTTTAAAAACATCACACTGAGTTGTTATAATTGAAGCTGGGACAGAGAAGTTCAGTGTACAAATGTACAAATTCATAGTGATATGGAGTGGAAATGCAGACATGATGGGTGACATAGTCTAATGAACACGCATACTTCCTAATTTGAGACGACAGTACTGAGGCAGACCTGTAACCCATGTAATTATCTAATTACTTATTATGTCCACAGTTATCCTGTGTATAGCGAAAATGAGGAGACCAAATATATTTAGAAGAATTGTTCATTCTAAATTTAATAAGTTAGCTAATAATAATTTGTTCTGTAACTGTAGAAGAGACAAAATTGTAACAATCTCAGAATTAATGTATGGCCAATATTATCCTTGCATTTTATATAGCGCCTTATCATGTCATTGAGTGTCTCAAAGAAGTTTGAGGGATTTACTGTAAGGTCTAATGACTATGTATTTGTTGGTGCACACAACAATCAGATTGTGACAGCAAACAGCTGTGTAGTGAACAAACGTTTTTGTCTTGGGGTTGTTGTCCTGGACATTAGAAGAAACTCCCTTCTTTTTTAGAATAGGTCTGTGGGATATTTCACATTTATCTGAGCAGGTACACTGCCTTAACTGAAGGACAACATCTCAGACAACCCAGCACTCTCCCAGAAATGCATTGGGTTAGCAGCCTGCACTTTGAACTTAAAGCCTCAACCTTCTGACTCAGATCAAATCATTTTTGCTAGCACCTCAATAATAATCTTAGCAGATCTGTTCCATAGAGTTAAACTGTTGTATAATGTTGTTTTTAACATGTTCTACATTTGTACGTTACATCTTGTGGAGCAATCAATCAGCTGGAGCAGTTGGCATTTCTGCAAGCTGTCTCTATGTCACAAGATATGTGGCTACAATTACAATCTACATTTATATGGAGTCTTTCACGTTGGTAAGACATCTCAATACACTTTGCACAGCCTGAGTTACTGAGAGATGGCGGTGAGGGTGGGGGGGGGGGGGGGGGGGGAGCAATGTGTATGTCCCATTGTTACACCTTGCAGTGGTAGCAGAATATTAATGGACAGAATGCCTGGTGAGATTAGCTGCTGAAATGGATGTAATGAATGCGCCATTTTCAATAGTAATGAGATTTGAAGCAAAATGTGTTTTGCTGATCGCCACTGAGGGAAGTTTCAATTTAGCATGGTGGTATCCATTGGGGAGCAAAACAAGTTGCACTTAAAAGTTCACTTCGGCTGCCGAATGTTCCTGATGTGAACCTTAAGACCAAAATGTAAGGTTGTGCTGACGCCAATTTCATTTGAAGAATTTTTTTTCTTTTGTTTTAGGAAACCAGACTTCCAAAGTTATATGGAATTTAAGATTCCAAAATTCTGCACAAACTACAATTTTAAAACAACGGTCCCAATAATAATCTTTGCATTAGATGTAGCACCTTAGCTCGGAGGTGAGACGTCTCAAACTGCTTCACAGAATATACTGTAAAGTGAATTGACTGTATAAGTTGTTGGCTAAACACGGCAGCCAATTGCACACACACAGCAGTGTCCCACAAACAGTTGTGGATTGAGTGACAATTTTTTTAAATTGAGGGATTATTACCCTCGGTTAGCGATCTGCCAATTGACTAACAACCGGATTCCTACTTACTGCTAGGTAAACAGAGGCATTTCGAGTAAGGAAACCTGCCTAAGGTTTCGCCCCACCTGGGAATTGAACCCGGGTCCACTCGCTTGTGAGGCGAGCGCTCTAACCAATATGCTGCAGGACTCACAAGTCATTTCGGGCCCCTAAAAGAAGAGACTTGAGCAATGTTTGCTGTTGTTACCTTGATAGGTTTACAGTATTGTACCATGAGTTTAGCAGAAATAATAATAATTGTAACATAATAATCCTTTCCATTTGATATAGCGCTTTATCACGTTGTTAAGACGTCTCAACGCACTTCACAGAATATATTGTAAGGTGGATCAACTGTATATTTTGTGGGCGTAAAGGAACATCGCAAAGCTTCAACATTTCCAACTGCAAACATTAGTTTTATTTCTATTCAATTATTAACTTTGGATTCAAAGGGGAGCCTGTTTAATAACTAACTCATAATTCAAATTCTCTGCCAACTTTTCTTAACCCACAAAACAGACAAGTCATCTTATAATATTCCACATTGTCACCAGCCAGGAGGATATCAGTGACTGTATATTCAGGGAAGGCTGACACCATTCTAGTAACTTTGAAAGCTTAGCTTTAGAAACAAACAACTTATATTTTTATAGCACCTTATCATGGCAAAATGTTAAAGCACTTCAGTGGTAATTACTCTCAAGTGAGCGGACATATTTGTAGGCAAACATGGCAGCCATTTTTGAACCATTATAGTGCCACATCTTACAAGGTGAATGACAATTAACTTGCAGTGAGTTGGGCTGCATATACAGAAAACATCTATTCCCCTTTCCAACATGATATGGGAACTTTAACATCCACCTCAACAACAGATAGACAGGCTATTTGAGGCCCTAATGTTAACACTGAAGCCTTGATTGCGAGCTCAAGGGCTTGAAAAACCACAAACTTCTAGCTACTCAGCTAAACTAATACAAACAGTGAATGCCAAGAGCCTGAGTTAACCCAACCTCTGAGATGCTTCCTCTCTGTAGGAAGCCTCCATGTGTCAGATGAGGTAACATCAAGGATCTTGTAAGAACTATCACCTAACTGTGCTCTAGTGAAAATCCCACCCATCCATACCTCACATGAAGGCAGAAAATGTCATTATTGTTATACAGTATACTATTTACTAATCCTGTTGTCTTTACCTTCATCAGTACAAGATTGTACCCAACGTGAAGCACAGAATATAATTGCAAGTTGCTGTAACCAACAACACACTCACACAAACCTTTGTTTTCCAGGTAAACTGCCTACTAAATCTACTGCCCATTCTGAGATGAGCCACTTTACTTGTCTTTTTATAGACACAAAAATTAACTTGGATATTCATAGAAAAAACACAAACATTCTTTGGCATTACGTAAAAAAATGTATTTACATTCTGAATGAACATTCTAATAAATTAAGGCCACAATTCAGAGAACCACAAGGATAGATATTCATCACAAGATATTCCAGCAATAAATACAAAGCATATCACACTGAATTACTTATTACATGGAGTGACAGAAAAGAACGTCCATCAACCCTTTAACCTTAGGAGTTCAGCATTCTATCAGTCCAACCTTTCGTTCAAGAGGACACTTTTTCATCCCCTTTGAGTACATAGTGTATAAAATACTAGTGCCATTCACTTAGAATCTCATATTTCATACCATTTAACAGTTACCAGTAACTACATTGAATTAATCTTGCACATTTTACCCCTATGTAGATAAGGAATAGCAGTGAGTGTCTAGTAGTGAGTTTAAGGCAAGTCACTGAGTCTCTGTGTTCTTGGTTTACTCCTCCCCTGGTGTTTTGGGATTCCTTGCCAGATACGGTACTGTGTTGTACATAGTTATACTTAGGCTGCTCTTTAACAAATGCACGGCTTTCCTGGGCCTACATTTCTGGGAATGTCTTCACTTCAAATATTAAAGCATTCCAAATGAATAAACATTTGAAGAACACAAAGGAGTACACGAAAAAAGAGCAGGGAATTGAGACGAGAGTTAGGTCAGCGATGCATCATCTGAGGCGCGATGTGTCAACAGAGATTCTTCTGGATGCAAAGGTTTTGGTAAAAGGCAAAACATTTAACTTTCTGCGACCCTTAAATAAATGATCTTTCCTGCGAATAAGTGTATCCCCCTCCGCCCAGGATAAACACATTCTCTAACTGTTGTAATATAGTGGGGTTTGGAAACATTTTCAAGTGACTTGTCCTTGAATGAAGTCAACAAAAAAAAATGGGAGTGTGTCACATTGATTTGAATGCCTAGAAAAACTTGAGTCAGTGAAAAACAATTAAAGACTAAAAAAAAATTCTTCACTAACTCCGTGAATTATCTAAAATCTCCTACAAATTAAACTTCAATGAAAAAGAAACAATTTAAAAACACAATTGCTTAAATATTCCCATACCTTAACTCAACTGAATGCAAACGTGATGCCATGGTATATGCTTTCACGATTGCCGAATTTTCTTGAAGGAAAATTCTTGTGCCACAGTTTTACACAGTAGCCAGAGATACACTTTTATGCTGGTGAAAGTGTCTTATTTCAAGTCAGTGAAAACGTTACCCTCTCAGTTCTGCAATATCCTTTTCCTCAGGTCACTTCGTATCTTTGTGTTAAAAATGGTAAAGGTCACCAGTGTGAATTCCTGCTCTGAGTTTCCAAAAATTATAGCTAGAAAGCTCGCTCCCCCATGAACATCCAGTATAATCAGTATAATTGGAAATAATTGTGACTTGGAAATACTTGGGAGCTCAGCAATGGGCAACAGGCACTGGCACGTGGCTAAACCCTCACATCTCTTCTTTCCTGCACAGGGTGTTACTGCCAGCCAACCCTGTGCTTGAATGAGTACAGACCAATAAGAACAATGATCACAGTGCAACCACAGAATACGGGAAAAAAATAATCCTATCATAATCCAACTAGAAAACCACTCTTATATATTAAAAAAAATAATTGGGCAATAACTTCTGCAATCACCACCAGCAACAAAAAAAAACTTTTCAAAAACATTATTTATGTGAAATATGGCAGTCATCTGATTTTTAAGTGCATTAGTCAACTGCCCTATTTGTTTAAAACAATACATCATTTACAGCTTTTCTGTATTCTTCTGCAAATTCTCTTTAGGCCTTTACTGCAAGTGACTGAGGGCAATGCCACAGCTGGGCAAACTTCTAACTTCAGCTTTGTTGAAAAGGTTTGACCGTAAAGAAATGAAACAAACGCATACAAAAGTCACTTATAAAGTGAATGTCCATGAGATCATCACATTATGAGTTTCTCCATCTCTTCCTCCAAAAACACAGCGAAATTTCTGTGCTGTCTTCGCACATTGTTCAATCCAGGTCCGAGCAGAACTTTGGTGACAAAGTGGCCTGGAGCCAAGCAGCTGTCTCAATAGAACCCATCATTGCTTCTTCTACTGTTCCTGGCTCAGAAGAGCGTTTAACAACATTCATCACCAGACATAAAAAAACACAAAAAGGAACCATTTTTTACTTTTTAAAAAAAGTTCCTCATTGATGTAGGTCATAGTTTACAATGCCAGTCAATCATTGGTAGGAGACTCTGCTCCTCTCCCAGCTTTGCGAAGCAGCTCTTTCGCCAAAAAGGAATCCAATAAACAATTATACTCATGGCTTGGAGGTATTTCGAATTGTACAGTCCTTTTGAGACTAGTCAGCATTTTCTTTAGTAATTAGCCTCTCATAAAAGGAAAAGGCGTCTTCTCGAATGCCTTTGCAAAGGGCAGCCCAGTTATGTCACCGCCTCAGTGTTGTGCACCTTGTTGTATCTGTTCATCAGCTGTTCGTATTCAAGCGATGACCTGCTGAACCTGCGGATGTTGTAGTCAGAATCATTGGAGTTTGGCGTGGGTGGCAGGATGTCACTGTCTCCGTCATCTGTCACGTTTTCATCGCGGGACAGCTCCACCTTCTCTTTGTCGCTGAGATTCAGCTCATCTGTGAAGGTGATATTGATGTTCTCGAAAAACAGCAGCGGGTGCCTGTGCCCTTCCCAGATTGAATTGTCCTCTCCCCCAGCTCTGTCCAGCTGATTCTCTCTCACTGCCCCATCAGCAAGGTTACCCAGATCTTTTTTACTATTTAGTGGCATTCTGGTGTCATGGTCATGGACAGCTGACAGGTTGGTCGTCTCATAGCAAAATCTCTTCAGTCCTATTTTTCTACACTCATTGGGCACAGGTGTTTCTTCTCTGACCATTTGCTCAGCCAGTGCATCAACTCCCAGGGTTTTACTGCCGTGAGCCTTCAGGGCCTGGGAGCCAATCTGCTGGATGAGGTCATTGTAGCCTTCTTGTTTCTTGGTCAGAAATTGGAAGATGTTGACCTCTTTGGAGTCACGGGGCATTTTGGAACCAAGAGGTTTTTCCTGGTTCGGTTCCAGTTCGAAGGATCCCCTCCTCCGCTTCCTCCGCTTCTTGATGGCCTTGTGAACCTGTACAAACATGCTGACCTTCCAGTTGATGAAGAGGGACAGCCACGCCAAGCCCAGGTAGATCCACAGCTCCACAAAATATCTGTAGAGGACGTGGTAGTTTGCATTTGGGTCAATACCTGTGAATGAAGGACAGAATTAAAGGTTTGTGAACCTGAGTAGAGAATGCAGAGTTACATAGAAAAAAAGCAGATGACATGGACCACAAGCTTTTTGAATGGTGTCTGGGCTCTTTAAATCCACCTGGACACCCAGTCAGACCTTTAATGGACAGTACCTCCATCAATGCAGCGCTATCCCAGCCACTGCACTGAAACATTAGCCTACACTATATGAGTTCAAAGCCCCAATGTGGGGCCTTTTGGCTCAAAGGCTACTAATTGAACCAGACTGACATCAGTTCCTCAATGTTTGAATCTAAGATACTTTCACCCCTCACACCATCACTCGTGACTGCAGCCTCTAATGGGCCTGAGCTCTCACCAAACAGTGAATGACTCACTTACTAGTAAGTTAAGATAATAATAATAATAATAATCCTTGCATTTGATATTGTGCTTTACCACATCTTAGAGACTTCTCAAAGCATCTTATAGAATACACTGTATGACAGCATATTTTGTTGGCAAAACACAGCAACCAATTGCGCAGAGCAATATCCCACAAACAGTCGTGGATTGAAGTGACCAATTAATTACTATTATTTTTTGAAGGAATTATTACCCCCGGATTGGCGCCAATCGACTAACAACCGCCAATCGACTAACAACCAGGTTCCCACTTACTGCGTAGTAAGCATGTGGAATAAGGAAACTTGTCCAACATTTCGCTCTGCCCGGGAATTTACTTGCATTAGTCAGAACAACAACAACAACTTGGATTTATATAGCGCACTCCACGCCAGACGGCGTCTCAGAGCGCTTCACAGTAATAGATCACGGGCCAAGCCAAGGGGAGGGGGAGTAAGTTGACCAAAGGCGCGGTTGAAAGGTCTTCAGCTGAGACCTGAAACTAGGAAGAGAGGGGGTGAGGTGAAAGGAGTGAGGAAGGGAGTTCCAGAGCTTTGGGGCGTAGTGGCTGAAGGCACGGCTGCCAATGGTGGAGCGAAGGACTCGGGGTACGAGGAGGAGGCCAGACCCGGTGGAGCGAAGGCAACGGGCACTGTTGTGAGGAGAGAGGAGGTCAGAAAGGTAGGGTGTTGCATTTGAAGACAAGGATGAGGATCTTGGAAGTTGATCCTCTCTGGGACAGGCAGCCAGTGCAGTCTGGCAAGACTGGGGTTATCAGGGAGCGGAGTTTAGTGCGGGTGAGAATGCGGGCGGCAGAGTTTTGGATGACTTAGATTTTGTAAATGGTAGTGGAGGGGAGACCGGCGAGGACAGCATTTGAATAGTCCAGCCGAGAGGTGACAAAGGCATGGACCAGGGTTTCAGTGGCTTTTGGATTGAGGTATGGCAGAGACGGGTGATGCGTTGGAGGTGGATGAAAGCAGTGCTGGTGAGGGACCGGATGTGGTGGAGGAAGGATAATTAGGGGTTGAACCTGACGCGTAGGTTGCGTACGGGTTCGGAGAGTTTTAGGGGGAGGTCGGGTAGGTGGAGGAGGTGAGAACCATGTGATTTTAGACGTTGACGAGAGCCATAGAGTATGGCTTGTCATATTCAGCTGAAGGAAATTCGCTCTCATCCAGCTCCTGATGTCAGACAGGCAGGCTGACAGAACATCAGGGGACTGGGGGTCACAATGTGAGGTGGAAAAATAGAATTGGGTGTCATCTGCATACATGTGGAAGTGTACTCCATGTCTGCGGATGACATCCCCAAGAGACAGCATGTCGATCAGAAAGGATGGGGTACCCCACAGGTAACCAGGTGAGAATGGGAGGAAAAGCCGTTTGTGCAGATGTACTGCTGACGGTTCGTGAGGTATAACTCGAACCAGGCGAGTGCAGTCCCACTGAGGTGGATGATGGAGGAAAGGCGGTGGAGGAGGATGGCGTGATTGACTGTGTCGAAAGGGGCAGAGAGGTGCACGAGGACAAGGAGGCAGAGGGAGCTCTGGTCACAGATAGAGAGGATGTCGTTTGAGACTTTCACAAGCGCAGTCTCTGTACTGTGGCAGGGTGGAAACCGGACTGGAGGGGTTCGAAGAGGGAGTGGGAGGAGAGGTGTGCGCGAAGCTGATGGGCAACAACGCGTTCTAGGACTTTTGCGAGGAAGGGCAGGTTTGAAATAGGGCAGTAGTGGCTGGGTTTGAGGGATCTAGGGAAGGTTTTTTGAGGAGGGGAGTGATGACAGCAGTTTTGAGGGGGGCAGGGACTGATCCAGGAGAGGGACTGGTTAATGACATCAGCCAACAGTGGGCAGAGGAGGGGGAACTGCAAACAACTCCCCCTCACATGTGCAGTACCTCACATGCAAACAAACTATCAGTTAGGCGCAAGCAAATCCACAGCCAATAAGAGAGAGTGGGGGAGGTGGGGGGGGGGGGGCGAAGGAAAAAAAGAGATAGATAATATTTGCCACCTGTGGTATTGCTTTAGTGGAAAAGTTTATAGTTGTTGAGAATTCAACTTGGGACAGGATTTTCCCTTTATAGCCATTGCTCCAGAAAGTACAAGATATACCTAGAGAACGAGCTCAATAACAGGTGTTATCAACAGCACTTGTTCATGCAACGGGTTAGCTGCTGAATCTTACTAAGAAAACAGTAATTCACTCTAAAAGTGCAAGTACATCAGGAATTTATGCATGAATGAGGTCGAAACTGCAATTACATTGCTTCAATTGTTTAAAATATTAATCAGTTTTGACGCATTTAAAAGAAGCTATTTTGAGTTTTGAGTACAAGATTGAAAGAAAAATAGTAATATTAAATATTCAAATATTAAATGTTCCTTATCTTTTGTCAATAAAGTGCACTCACACAGATCTGTTTTTCTCCTCCCCTAGTTTTATAATAATATTAATAATAATCCTTGCATTTGATATGCATTTACATCTTCGACATGATTGAGTCGTGGAGTGTGTCGTGGACGAGATGATATAGTTGTGGATTGAGTGATCAAGTTATTATTCTTTTTATTGTTTATGAAGGGATTATCTTTCATTATCAGCTCATGTAGCTTTCATTATCAGCTCGTGTACTGTCCCGCACCAGGCTTCGGGACCACATCACTCCCACCCTCGCTCGCCTCCACTGGCTCCCCATCCCCCAGAGGATCGATTTCAAGATCCTCATCCTCACCTACAAGGCCATTCACGGCCTCGCTCCCTCCTACCTCTCCAACCTACTATCCCCCTACCTACCCGCCCGTACCCTCCGTTCCTCTGGTTCCGGTCTGCTCCACATCCCCCGCCCCAACCGCCCTACCATCGGTGGCCGGGCCTTCAGCCTCTCAGCCCAGAGGCTCTGGAACTCTATCCCCCAGTGCCTTCGCCGCCTCCTCCCTTTCCTCCTTCAAGGCCGGTCTCAAGACCTTTCTCTTTGACTGTGCCTTCAGCTCCCCTCTCAACTCTCTACCCCCTCCTCGCTCCCTCCCTTCCCTCACCCTGACCATTTTCCCCCTGCTCAGGTCCTGACCTAACTGTACAGCGCCTTGGGACGTCCTCCCGACGTGAAAGGCGCTCAATAAATGGAATCTTGTTGTTGTTGTTGTAGCTTTCAATGGGAGTGTACGCAGGTGTCTAATTTTGTAAATTTTGTAAAAGCTTTCACAAGTCCTGCAGAGTTCTGAATGCATCTCACACCAATTCGCTGGAACTGCCAGCAGGCGTTGATCTGCTGCCAAGGCCTAAGAGTACCTATTGGCTAGTAAATTCACAGGAGTCAGGAATGAGATTAGTTTCTGAGCAGAGTTCCAGCGGGTTGGCATGACACATCTGGGCACGTGCAGAATGTAATAATGCAAACCGTTTCACAACTTCCCGCAAATTAAACCTCCATCCCCAACCTCCATCCCCAACCTGGAGCAACAAGTGGCACTTGTTGCCTCCAATGATGCCAGCAAATAAATCAAATGATAATGAAGGTGGTTACAGAGATCCCATGACATTCCCTATGTGTCAGGGAAGCTGCATATCAGCCTCTTGAGGTTCCCTCCCCTCTAAAATGAAACCCAAGAAGGTGGCCAAATTCTTTCAACAACAAACAACAACTTGCATTTATATAGCGCCCTTCACACGGGGCAGCATCCCGGAACGCTTCACAGTGGCGGAGTCTGACAATGGGCCAGAGGGAGTTGGGCGGTCACCGTAAGCACGATTAAAAAGGAAGGTCTTTAGGCAGGATTTGAAGGTGGGGAGGCAAGGGGCAAAGCTGAGGAATTTAAGGAGAGAGTTTCAGAGTTTTAGGGCATAGTGGCTGAAGGCACAGCCACCTACCAGTGGAACGGAGGGCATGAGGGACAAATAAGAGGCCTGATCCAGCCGAGCAGAGGCAGCGGATGGTGGAGTGGGTGGTAAGGAAGTGTGGGGTAGGGAAGTGCGAGGGAATTAAATGATTTGAAAACGAGTGAAAGGATTTTGAAGTTCGGTGATTGGGAGCCAGTGGAAGCTGGCAAGGACTGGTGTGATGGGGGATGGATTTTCGTGATGGGGATAGATTTTTGTGCAGGTGAGTATGGAGCTGGGGAGACCAGGAGAAGGACATTGGAATAGTGCAGCCGGGAAGTGACAAAGGTGTGGACAAGGGTTTCAGCTGCAGGTACAGACGGGGGCAGACAACGTGGTGGAGGAAGGCAATGTGGTGGAGGAAAAAAGTGGTCCTGGTCAGGGAACGGATGTGGAGTAGAAAGGAACGCTGAGGATCAAACCTGACTCCTAAGTTGCGCATGGGGTCAGAGAATTTGAGGGAGAGTCCAGGGAGCTTGATGAGTTCAAACCCAACCAGAAGAAAAAAAATGGATATGAGGTGAGGATTGCAAGAGAAGATTGTTAGCACAAAGGGAAGTTGAAGTCACAGGAATGGAGGTCAGATCGCCCCCATCTTGCTGCAACTTGTAGCTAATGTGAGGAAATCAGGGCAAGGTGCCAGTAGCTAACATGAGGAAATCAGATCATGGTGCCAAAGTGCATAAATGGGCATAAATCAGTACAGAAAGTTTTGAATATGACTGTGCTGTGTTCTAGCAAGCGTCAGTGTTGGATAAAAAGTACACACTTCACTTTTAAAGAAATTCTCTGGTGGTAAAGAACATTAATACTAAAATACTTAAAATACTCAGAATATGCATGTGGGAGGGGAGAAAGAAAAAGTAAATTTTAACCCAAGATTTACATTTCTCTCCAAGTTCCTGATCCGAAAAATAATTTAAAAGAACAACCTGAACGATGTGGGAAACTCACACATTCTTTTATAAAGCTTGGTTTTGATGAAATCAGGAATATTACCAGGATTCGATTTAATAGACCTGGCATTTGGTAAAGGACGTTTTCACGTCAGGAAGACATCTCAAAGTGATTCACAGGATTTACTGTAAAGTGCAGGTGATTTGGAGGGAAAGAGGGGTTTGTGAAAAGGTAGGTAAGAAGGAAGACACATGTCAGTGTCTGCCTTCCTCCCCACCCCACCACCCCACACACACACTCTCTCTCTTGTTTGGTTGCTGGGTATTTGTTCGCAGCCTGAACTAATAGTTTGTTTTTGTGTGGAGTTCCTAATGAATTAATAGCTTATTCTCCACAATTGTTTTCAACAGCCATTTTCTTCTTCTAAACAAATCGTCAATATTAGAATACAGATATGAAAAAGATATTCATAGCAAGTGTGGATACAAGCAACTCCTGTACTCTTGTACAGCTTCGAACCCAAAATCACAAAAAGAAAACAGTCAGCAGATTCGCATAGAGCTGGAGAGGGAAGAGATTGCTTACCAGCTACAAAGTCTCCGAATCCAATGGTGGAGATGGTGATGAATGAGAAATACAAGCCTTCGATATACGACCAGCCTTCAGTCACCATAAAGACAAGCGGTGGCATCAGCAGATGAAGCAGAACGCCCCAAAGGATGAAAATGGCAGTGCAGGTAATCTGTGCCTTCCGCTGTTAATTCAATGTGAAAAGTGTTAGCATGAGAAGTGAGAAACTAAATAAACTAAACACAAACTTTTATTTTTAGGCAGGAAGCAAGTTTTCACCCACAGATCTGACCCGAACTTTCTTAAAACTTCAAACATCAAGAGTCAGTTTCTTACCGGACTCACGCCTTTTCGGGTTAACGCTTTGCCCAGCTTCTTGGCACGACCCCCAAAGAATTTTCCTAATGCAGTTATCCAGGAAAGACACAGTGGCACGCCAAACAGCCCATAGAAAATGCAGAAGAGACGGCCCGGTGAGGTTTTGGGAGCGATGTTTCCATATCCTACAATGAATCGCAGACAATGAAAAGAAAGGCTCACACACACACACACACAAAAAGCACACAACCAGAAAAATATCAACTAAACACCCAAGCAGAAAATATAGTTTCATCTAAAAAAGCCTCACGAGAGACTTGGAGAATAAAAGAGATTTTTATTCACTGAGGTAGTGGTGTTTCAGTTAGATGCCTCACTCCTTCAATAAGGACCTGTATAAGAATAGGGTTATGGAATTGGAGAATAGGGAATAGGATTGGAGGTTTATAGTGATGGGTATAGAACAATGTTTCTTTTAGCATCAAGTTAGATGTTAGTCTGGCTCATTTGGAAGCACTTTCAGTCAGAAGGTTGTCAAGACCTTCCTCTTCGACCATGCCTTCCACCCACCCTGATCCTGACGCCCAGCTCATGTCCGAAACACTGATTGTCCTCCCAAAGTGTAATTTTGTTGTTGTTGTTGTTATGGTTTCAAGTCCTACATTGGGATTTTGGACTCAGATAGTTTAGGCTGACATTCTAGTGCAGTGGTGGGATGGTGCTGCATTGTTGGAAGTGGTGAGATATTAAGCCAAGGTAACATCTGCCTGTTCGGGTGGGCTCAAGGATTAAATGTCCAACTGCTGTTCCTATATTTCTTGGTGGTGGCCTCTATATTTTTATTCCAGACTCTCATATATTTTAGGTCCTTATGTAAGACCTATCTTTTTCATTCAGATGCTGGTTGGCCTTGCTCTATTTTATCTTGTTCTGTTTTCACACTGTGTTCTCACTGTCTCGTGCGGTGTCCCTCAGGGCTCTGTCCTCGGTCCCCTCCTCTTCACCCTCTATATGCTCCCCCTTGGTGACATCGTCCACAGACATGGGGTTAACTTGCACATGTATGCGAATGACACCCAACTCTACCTTTCCTCCTCTACCCTCAACTCCACGACCACCGATGTCCTGACAGCTGCCTGTCCGACATCGAGTCCTGGACGAGAGACAACTTTCTTCAGCTCAACGTGTGTAAAACTGAGGCCCTCCTGATTGGCTCACGTCAGCGCCTCCGCACCTCAGGCGCTGACACCATCAGCATCCAAGGCTGCACTCTCCACCTCTCAAAGCAGTCAGGAACCTCGGTGTTCTGTTCGACCCTGAGCTGTCCTTTCTCCCTCATATCCGCGCCACAACTGGCACCGCCTTCCATCACCTCCGGAATATCGCCAGACTACGGCACTACCTCACCCCTCACGCTGCTGAAACCCTGGTCCACGCCTTTATCACCTCAAGGCTGGACTATGGGAACTCTCTCCTTGCCGGCCTTCCCGCCACCTCCCTCCACAAGCTGCAGGTCATTCAGAACTCTGCAGCTCGTGTACTGTCCCGCACCAGGCTTCGGGAACACATCACTCCCACCCTCGCTTGCCTCCACTGGCTCCCCATCCCCCAGAGGATCGAATTCAAGATCCTCATCCTCACCTACAAGGCCATTCACGGCCTCGCTCCCTCCTACCTCTCCGACCTACTATCCCCCTACCTACCTGCCCGTACCCTCCGTTCCTCTGACTCCGGTCTGCTCCACATCCCCCGTCCCAACCGCCCTACCATCGGTGGCCGGGCCTTCAGCCTCTCAGCCTTAGGCTCTGGAACTCTATCCCCCAGTGCCTTCGCCGCCTCCTCCCTTTCCTCCTTCAAGGCCGGTCTCAAGACCTTTCTCTTTGACCGTGCCTTCAGCTCCCCTCTCGACTCTCTACCCCCTCCTTGCTCCCTCCCTTCCCTCCCCTCACCCTGACCATTTCCCCCCTGCTCGGGTCCTGACCCAACTGTACAGCGCCTTGGGACGTCCTCCCGACGTGAAAGGCGCTCTATAAATGGAATCTTGTTGTTGTTGTTCCCTTGCAGTCTGGAAATCTGCACTTGGGGTGGCCTTACCAATTGTGGTGATCACAGTTGCAGCAAAAATAACAGCATTGGGCCAGTTCCAGTTATTGAAAGTCTTGTTGCCCGTGATAGTGACGCCTTGGCCGGCAGCCTTTTCAACATCCTGAGAAGCAAAAGATTACAAACTTTTATATCCTTGTTTTATTTTTATTTTGGTACCTTAATGAGTGTGACTGAAAAGTGATTAAACATGCGGTTGAATTAATAATAATAATCCTTGCATTTGATATTGCAATTATCACGTCTTCGAGACGTCTCAAAGCACTTCATAGTAAACACTGTAAATTGATTTGACTGTGTATTTTTGTGGGCGAAATGTGGCAGCCAATTGCCCACAGCAGTGTCCCACAGTCGTGGATTGAGTGGGAAAATTATTATTCTCTCCCCACCCCAACTTCTGAATACGATTGCTCAAAACAGGATGATAAACAAAATCACTGGGCATTGTCATCTTGAAATTCTACTGAACGGAGTTTATTTGTTAAAACAATGATAGGGAATGGGATTGGAGGTTTATAGTGATGGGGATATATAAATCATCTCGGTTTGTTCCCAGACAACTCGCACTATGTTTGAACAATATCCCCTGAGGAGGCTCAAAAAAGGTTATTTTTGCTGCAACTGTTCAAAAATTATCCCTGATCAACTGGACTCCAGGCCAGTAAGACCAGCATTTTGCAAACAGGTTTGGACACCGTCGCAATTCATAAGTAACGTCACTCATAGCATAACTTAACCTCATTGCTTAAAAAAAGGAATAGGATACATTTAGGAATACCCCAATTTTGACCCCATCATCTGCAATAGGATACATTGGACTCATGATGAGCATCTGGGTTTCGGTGCGGAAGATCAATGATATGTCTGCACCTCCAGATATACCATCTCCACCTTGGGTTAACTGTGGACCTGCTTGGTTTGTCTGATATCTCTCCTCACAGCCAGCTCCATCCCAGGGAGACCCCACTTACGCTTTCTCCCCCCACCCCAATATCTCTCCCCCATGATCCCCCCCCATGTCCCGCCCCTTCTCCCCCTCCCCCTCCCCAAGCTCTCTGACATGAGCTTTTTTTTTACATTTCTTGGCATTAAATGGGGAGAATGAAAGGCTCCTCCAATAGTAAACTGTTAATTCCTTTTGTTTTTTTTATAAATAAGGACTTAATACATCCCTTCTTGACGCATGCATTTAGCTATACAGTGCCCAGTGCATTGGAGACAAGGGCACAATGTAGTGGTTGGTGGTGGTGTGTGTGTGTGTAGAGAGGGGTTGTGGTGGGGGGGAACGACAGGAACAAGAACTGATCACAAGGATCAACATTGCAGAGGAAGCTACAAGACAGATGATGTTCATCTTGAAAAATGTTGCTAAAAGCACACACTATAAAAGGGCAATGTACACTTCCTACAGGAATCAAAAAAGGGCAATGAGGAAATGCACACCCCACAGAGTCAATAGGGAATTGATTTACAAACTTCAAATCCTAAAATTTTAAATTCATTTTTGTCAAATGTGTGCTGCTGTGGCCTCAGACGCAGAGACCAAGGTAGAATAGCAGAGATGGTGCAAGCGTCGATGAGATAGCAAGGATCTTTTGCAATTTGAACAATTGACAACTCCTAGGCTTATGGGGCTAGAAAATGCTTGATATGCAGAATTAGGCCCTAGATTTGGGCCAGAGTTTATACTCTATTCAAGCATCCAATTACATTGTATAATACAGGTCTTCTCATTTGAGGGCTCCCCACTGCAATGTTTACCTGCAGAATTTTCAAAGAATGAAAAATTTATAGCACATTTAACATTGAAACATTTCAGAAGCACTTCACAAGTATTTACTGGCAAGTGTATCGTGACTTTTTAAAAAAAAAACGGAAACCTAGCAGCAATGTCCCACAAATAGCCACAAGTTGAATGACCATCAGCCAGGACACTAGCAGAAACTTCCTTCTCTTTTTGAACAATGTTGTGGAATCTCTAACATTCACCTGAATGGGCAGATGGGATCTGAGTTTAACATCTTATCTGAAGGACTGCACCTCCACCAATGCAGCTCTTCCCCCACAGCGTTTGAATTCAAAAACAAAGTCAAAGATGCTGACATTGCAAATTTTCCTGCTGCAAACCCTGCTGTCACATTCCAATTATACCATTTGAGTGTTCATCTGGTGGGACCCGCACACACCCTACCATTTATTAGGTGCCAAGGAAAGTCCCTGACTGCTGACAGCCAACATACCACAGCATCCTCACCACAAAATGGATTATATTAAAACAAACTTCATAACATTCCTTTAATCCCTAGCAGAAATTGATTACAACTCCTTGGGTTAACATTGCATCCATGCAATATTTAGCACAGCATGTGGGTGGGAGGGCGAGACCAAATTGCTCCCCCACCCCGCCCGCACCTCCACACCATAGAGCCGAAAGCACCAACAGTGAAAGCAGTAGTTCTGCCAAGGTGTACATGTGATCCAGGAGAAGGAGCCATGTTACTTTCTTGGAAAACTTATGGGGTGCAGCACACTTAAGTTTCTCTCTCTCTTTCCCCCTCCTTTCTCTCTTCCCCCGCCTCCACTCTCCCCCTCGCATCTCTGCCCCCCGCCTCGCCTCTCTCACCCGCAGCCCCTGCCTCCCTCTCCCACCTCCTCCTCTCTCCCTCTCCCCCACCCCACTCTGTTGTTCCGCTTGCTTAAGAAATTTCACTTGCTAAATCCACTGCCCCCCCCCCAACCATGTAGAGAAGGCTTATTTCAAACGGAGCAGTGTGCACACATCCTTCATTGCGATGTTATGAGTTAGATGATTTGCAGGGGATTTTGCAGGTATTTGGGCCCAACTGTTACAATTTAGCTGTTCATTGGCTTGTGCAAAGAAATCCAAATGGTTTTGGGGAGAAAATTGAATGGAATTCTGGTGTAGGTATAACAATACAATTTATAAAGAGATGACTCGTGCACATTGTATTCCAACACCTACAACCTCCAAAAAAGCCACCAGCAATCCAAGCGCTCGTTTCAGTGTCAGTAACAGAGATCCATCCACTCAGACTACTAAACACCAGATGAACTTCCACAGCAAGTGGGGGGAAGAGGAGGGGGAGTTAGAGGGAAGGAAGTGGGGGAGAGAAGGAGGGGGTAAAGAGGTGAAGGAGATGGGGGAAGAGGTGAAGGAGGGGGTTGTGGAAGAGGTGGAGGAGGGGGTTGGTGGAGGAGGGGAGGGAGAGAGAGAGAGGGAGAGGGGAAGGAGGTGGGCAAGGAGGGGGGAAGAAGATGAGGGGGAGAAGAGGATCAGGAGGAGGGGGAAGAGGAGGAGAAGAAGGAGGGTGGTGAGAGGAGGAGGGGGGAAGAGAAGGAGGTGGGGGGAGGAGGGAGGGAAGAGGAGGAGGGAGGGGAAGAGGAGGAGGGAGGGATGAGGAGGATGGGAGGAGGGAGGGGATGAGGAGGATGGGAGGAGGGGGAAGAGGAGGATGGGAGGAGGGGGAAGAGGATGAGGAGGGGAGTAGAGGAGGGGAGGAGGGGGAAGAGAGGAGGGGGAGGAGCGGAGGGGGAGGAGAGGAGGGGGGTTGTGGAGGAGAGGAGTAGAGGAGCCTGGGAGGGGATTGCGGAGGAGGGGAAGAGGGGCAGGAGGGCGGGGAGAGGGCAGGAGGGCGGGGAGAGACTGGTGAGGGGGGACGAAGACGAGGAGGGGTGATGAGGAGGGGGGAAGAGGAGGGGGGAAGAGGAGGAGGATGGGAGGAAGGGGAACAGGAGAAGGAGGATGGGAGGAGGGGGAAGAGGAGGAGGAAGGGGGAGAAGAGGAGGAGGAGGGGTGAAAGAGGAGGAGGAGGGGGAAGAGGAGGAGGGGGGCGAAAGAGGTGGGGTGGAAGAGAAGGAGGGAGGGAAGGAGGAGGGAGAGTTGGGTGGGAGAGGAGGAGGAGGAGGGGGGGAAAGGGGAGGGGGGAAGAGGAGGAGGAGGGGGGAAGATGAGGAGGAGGGGAGCAAAAGAGGTGGGGGCGGAAGAGGAGGAGGAGGCAAAAAAGGTGGGGGGGAGAGGAGGATGAGGGGGAGGGAAGGAGAAGGGCGAGAGGAGTTGGGGGGGAGAGGAGGAGAAGGAGGAGGGGGAGGAAGAGGTGGAGGGGGTAGGTGGAGGAGGAGGGGGGAAAGAAGTGGAGGAGTGGGGGAAAGAGGTGGATGAGGAGGGGGTGAAAGAGGTGGATGAGGAGGGCAAGAGGAAGACGGGGGGAAGAGGAGGAAGAGGAGGAGAATGAGGAGGAGGGGAGGATGGGAGGAGGGGAAGAGGAGGATGGGAGGAGGGTGGGGAGGAGAAGGAGGAGGAGAGCGTGGAGAGGGGCAGGAGGGCGGTGAGAGGGGGAGCAGAGCGGGGAGAGAGTTGGGAAGGGGAGGTGGGGAAGAGGGGTGGGTGGGTGGAGAGGATGGGAGGAGGGAGCGGTGGCAGGGGAGGAGGAGGAGGAGGAGGGCGGGGAGAGGGGTAGGAGGACGGGGAGAGAGGGAGGACAGAGGGGGGAGCAGGAGGAGGGAGGGAGGTGGGTAAAGTAGGGGGGTGGAGGGGGAGGGGGGAGAGGAGGAGGGGTTAGGGGGGAGAATGTAGCCAACTTTCAGTGGGTTAAAAGCTAAAACTTTGCAACAGCAAATCAGCCTAGTTCACGAGTTGCAAAGGATCATCATTAAAACAACAAAGGAGCTCAAGATTTTTTTTAACACTGCAGTGTTAAGCACATGGAAACAGTCTGAAGGAGAATCTATAATAGCTTTTAAAAGGATAATTCAATAAATACTTGCAAGGGAAACAATAATAAAAGGGGAAAGGGCAGGGAGACAGGAATAACCAGTTGGCTTTTTCCGAGAGTTGGCACGGGCATGATGAGCTCAATGGCTTCATTTTGTGCTGTAAAATTCTATGATGTGTGAAATTTTTTGGGTCACTTGCAAATTCATCATCAAAATCTACCAGAGGGAAAGATGTCCTGGATATCACAGCGGGGTTGAACAGTGGGTTTGGGAGCAGACATCCATTTATATTTACCCACCTGAAGTTAATGAGTACAGCAGCAAATAAATATCTTCCAGAGCATGGGTGGAGAAGAGGAGTGCAAGCCG